TTTAAAGGAATAGTTCACTCAAAAATGAAAATGTACTCACCCTCAGGCCATCCAAGTTGTAGATGAGTTTGCTTCTTCATCAGAACAGATTTGGAGAAATGTATCATTACATCACTTGCTCAACAATGGATCCTCTGCAGTGAATGGGTGCCGTCAGAATGAGAGTTCAAACAGCTGATAAAAAAAATTACAATATTTGTTTATTTGTTTGGACTGTTTTCTCATGTAAACAGTGCTTGATCTGTGCATATTTCTCTCCTGATTCAGGCAAGATGACTTTTTCACTGGAGAAAGCAGTATTATGGATAGAGGACTCATATTTTAGCTGGAAGGTTTGGAGTTTTGCTTCACAAGACATTTAATAATGGACTGGAGTCGTGTGGATTACGTGTTGATTATTGTGATGTTTTTATCAACAGTTTGAACTCTCATTTTGATGGCACCCATTCACTGCAGAGGAGAGCAAGTGATATAATGCTAAATTTATCCTAATAGATTCCAATAAGGACACAAGCTCATCTATATCTTGGATGGACTGAGGGTACATTTTAAGCAAATTTTCATTTTTTGGTGAGCTTTTACTTTATGTTCTCTTCGGGAAAACCCCACATTCAATCACAACCCTTTTTCTGAGCTTCAACATAACATTGCATGTATCACTCTAAAGATGAATACATTCAGTGTCAGAGTTTGCATCTCAGAGTTGCGTTTTAATGGAGTGGCTCATCATTAGCTCTGTTAAAGCAGTCGCTACTGAGTAGGGGGACTGTTAGGGCAGGACAGACTGCTTTTTTACTGTCAACATCAATACGCTCTTAGTTGTTAGACAGCCTATTTGGGTCGCAGATACACTTAAGAACCATCATATGTGCCTAGATCCAAATCTTGACAATTTGAATGAAAAGCTATGCAAGCATTTCTGAGTTCCTAAAGTGTTTTTGATCATTAAAAAGGTGCAATTTCTTATAATAACTCGATTTGTGACTCTGTCTATGTACAAAAGCCTTTGATTTTGTGCTGACTTTCATGTTCTATAAAGATCAGCTGTCTGCAGTGTACTTCACATTAGCATGCTTAAAGGAGACTGATGTTCTGAGAGCACGTGTTTAATGAGATTATAGCATCAGGGAAAGGAATATTAATGCAAAGGCATATGTACAGTATAAAAATAATTTTGCATGCTCGTAACTTTGAAGATGCATATATTCAAATACGGCAATGAGGAAACTCTGTGTGTATTGGCACTTCCTATCAATGCAGCTGGAACTGATGCCTATCAGTCTGCTGGTATGAAATGGAGAGAGGCTGCCAAAGTTCTGTGATGACCATGCAGCTATTTTAGGCAACAGAAAGGGTCTGGCATTTATTGCATATGCTTTCTTTATAATTGGAAGCAGCAAGAATAATGTAAGTATATGACTGATGCTCATCATCTATTAAATAAATCATCATCTATTATTTCATGAAAACTCATGTACAGTATAAAGAGCAGTGTTTTCTATCACAAAAAATACAATCATTATTTTATAAGAAAAAAGTAGGAATTGTCTTATAATTTATTCAGAATTACATTTGTTTGGGTTTTATTTAATTAGTTTTTGTTATCAGTCATGTACATTGGAGTGTTTTGGAGTAATTTAATGACATGCACTGTAACTTAAACATACAGTCACCTATTACCCCATAATGCTCTTTTTTTTTGGCAGTTAAATACAATAAACATTTATTATAATGTTACCATTTCCAAAATAGTTTTGTTCTTATTTTAAGCAAGATTTTGTTAGATGTATGCTTCAACTGTTGAAATAAATAAATAAATACATGTTTTCTCTGAAAACGACTAAATATGTTGTGATTTAAAAAAATAATATTTTTAAAGCATGTTTAGCCTAGATACCCATTTTAAATAAAAAAATAATAATAATAATAAAGGAATAAGTTCCCCGTTTATATGGGTAGCCTATGTGGTTACTATATTGTTCTTTTCAAGGATCATTTAAGAACAACAATTCATTATTTCACACACAACATTACTCTACGAACCATACGTGTAAAACAAACTCATGTTAACAATAATGGCTTAACACTGCGCACATTTAGAATGGGAAATACTGGCGAGAAAACAGCGCGACTGATTCCTTCATATTTAGATCGCTTCAAGTTTATTGATGAATGAAGTTAACATTTTTAAAGCCATATAAACAGGGTGATTTTTCCTGAAAGAAGCTAGCTGGCTCACGCGAGCCCCGTATAAACCCTCGAATTAATTATAGTGTCTTCATGCTCCGCTACTTCACTCCAATTGTCCGCAGGCTGCAGATGTTCTTCGGCAATCCAGCACTGCAGGTGCAGTTAATGCCGGAGATGCTGATAGTAGTTCTAGCTAGATATCCATCTCTTTGCTTGTTTCTTTCCTCACATAGAGCTTTTTTTCTGTTTACCTCCCAGATGTCGCTCTAGTGCTGCTGCGTGAGGTGTTGGATCCCGCAGTCTGACCGGCTTTGCGGTGCGTCTTCAAGAGCATCATCAACAATATCTTTAGTGGATAAATGACGAACAGTTCCGTGTGCTTCCGCATCATGTTGACATAACTCTGCTGAAGAACTGAAATGAATGAATGGCCGGAGAGGTGCGATGAAATGAATTAACTCTTTGATGTGGAGGGAAGGAAAGGGGTTTTATACTGCATATACCGCCGAGGAAACAGGGGAATGAGGCTTTAAACACGTTTCTTGTCGCTGAGTTTTCTTGTTGAAGTTGGCTTTGCTCAACAATGGAATGAATTGGAATGGATATTCTTAGAAGTGTTCCTTAGAGATGGATGGAAGATTTTCCAACCTTTCCCATTTATGAATCTTTTTCGTGACTCTGGAAAGGTGGAGCATTCAGGAAAAGCTAATGACGGGACCTATTAATCCATCAAGAGCACCAGAGGGGTTTGGAAACGTTTGGATGGAAATTGTTGCACCTTTTTCTGGTTTTATACGGAACTAATAATGCATAGTTGTGGATCTCTGCTGGAATCTCCATTGTAATTTATTAATATAGTGAAATGAATTCAGGGCTGTTCACATATTCGCTGTGATTTTTGCTTATTTTTTCCGTAAATATCCATATTTTCTTCTGAACGTATTCCGATCTAAATGGAATTAGTTGAGAAAGCCCTTTGTGAAAGGAATAGACATGGTACATGGGAACAGGTTCCTTCACGGTGAGTCCAGCTGCCAGTTAACTTCACTCTCTTCTCTGTTTCATTTTACGCATGAGGTCTATTCGCAATTACCGGTCAGTATCGCTTTCTTTAGGAACTTTGTGTGTGATTGTAAGCTGATTGAAATAATTTAATTTAATATACTTAGAGTGATATGCAACTGCATGACATTGCAGGCTATATCATATTTTCCCAGTTGTGTTGTTTTCTGCTGAAAAATCCATCTTAAACTGGTATCTGGTTTCTAGCTGGTCTAAACTGATTATTAGCTGGTGCAAAATTGGTTATTAGCCGGTCCAAGCTAGTGATGTGGTAGTCCACAAGCTGGTAAACCATCTTGGACCAGCAACAAACCATCTATGAGCTGGTCATACCAGTTTTTGAAGCTGGTTTTTACATGGTGGCTTTCTAGCTGGCCTAAGATGGTTGTTAGAAGCTGGTTATTAGCTAGTTTAAGTTGGTAGAACATCTTGGAACAGCAACAAACCGGCTGCTAGATGGGCATATAAATTTAAATTGGTTTGTAGCTAGTCAACCAATCGGCGACCAATTGTATTAGCTACCATATTCCAAATAGCTACCAGATTAAGGTGAAATTATAAAATCATCTGTTTTCCAAATGTACAGTACATCCATAGTAAATTAATCAGTCTGACAAATAAATGCAAAATAAATAAATAATAAATAACAACAAATAGAAATAAAAGTACAATAAATTTTATCCTGGTTTAGACCAAATTCCTTAACGATACGATTTCAGGTCTTGAGTTTCAGCCATTCCTACAATGCATTTTCAAATATCTGTTTTGTGATTTAGTGCAACAGTCCACATGGTTGTATGCTGTTTTGATCTTAAATCTTTTGTCACAGTTGTTGCAGGTCTTCTCATGCTTCGGTTGTCTGGGGCAACAAAGAAGGAAACCGGTAATGATGTTTTGTCACAGAATACCCACCCACTCTCCATCTCCATGTTTCCTGGCAATCTCTGACATTTGACTGCTCTCTCTCAGTGAAAAACAATTCAGGAGTGCAGCCAGCAGGGCAGTGTGGAACCTGGGTGAAAGAACCAGAGGGAGGCCTCTTCACCTCACCCAATTACCCAAACAAATATCCTCCAGAGCGAGAATGCATCTACATCATTGAAGGTAAAAAAAAAACAAAAAACTTACAACACATACAAATCTGTCATGTGACACTTGGATGGTGGGGGTTGTTTTGAATTGTTCAGCAGCGCAGTGGCACTTGGAGTGAAAGATGCAGGAGCAATCAGTTGATTGTTCATCATATGCAGCACCATTATGATGCTAATAAGCACTAGTGTTTCATTTGGATTCATAACAGAAGGATTTATAGATCAACAATCTCTCAATATCTGAACGTTAATTTGATTAACGCAATTAGATTTCCAAAAAAGGGGGTTGTCTTTCAGTTGCATCTGTTGGACTGCTAGCATGCTGTGCTGCTGCTAGCTAATAATCAAATCGAACTAAGAAGCTAGTAGTAATTTTTTTGTAATCAGATGGTTTATATGTGATAATCTCTTTGCTGTCATAATATAATTACAAACAGTGCTAGATGGATAAATAAATAATATATAAATATTAATAAAACAACAATCAAAATAAAACACTTACTAAAAAGATGTTATTTTTTGCATTTTGTGCATTGTAAAGTTTTGAAAGACAAAAGCCTTCCAAATACATAGTAATACATGGTTAAATAACCCACTGAGTAATAATTCAAATAAAATGAATGCTCATCAGTAGTTGATGCAATGTTGAAATGTTAACACTTGTGTGAATATGTATTAATGTAGTCAATAATAAAGTAACTGTAGTCTGATTACGAATATTTTAAAATGTAGGCCTAATATAATCTAATTACAAGTAACTAATTTTTTAAATCTGATTACACAATCCAGATTACATGTAGTTAGTCACTTCCCAGCACTAATTACAAATATTATGAGATCTTATTAATAAATCCCACTTTTAAACCCATGCGGTCTTCAAACTGCGGAGCTAATTCCTCTTGTATTAGTATATTTTTTTCATCCTTTCAAAATTTTAGTCATTTTGTGTGATTATCATGTTACAGTGGAAATAAATGCATATGAATGCAATCCATATCACCAAAACTTCCTTTGTATGCTAGTAATGGCAGACATTACCAACCCGATCTTGTGGCAAAACATAACTATTTTACGAGGTCGAGATTTTCATATGAATGTGATTCATACAGAAATGTACAATATTTAAGAAAAAAAAAAAATCACAAAGGTTAATCTATAACCTAATTGGATTGAGCAGACTATACAAAAAGGTATGAATAAGATCATACAAATTCAGACAATTAGCCACCAGTTCACCTACCAAACCGTAGTTACGAATTGCCATGAGAGTGTGTTGGACATGACATCATCCATCATAAATTACAGATGTCAGTCTTGATTTTTTTTTTTTCTCTCCTTTGCAGCTCCCCCAAGACAATGCATTGATCTTTTCTTTGATGAAAAGTATTCAATAGAGCCTTCATGGGAATGTAAATTTGACCATATTGAAGTCCGGGATGGGCCCTTTGGCTTTTCTCCAATAATTGGACGCTACTGCGGCCAACAGAACCCTCCATATATCAGATCGAGCGGCCGTTACCTATGGATAAAATTTGTTGCGGATGGTGAATTGGAAGCGATGGGATTTTCTGCAAGCTACAATTTCACAGCAGGTACATACAGTTTTATGCTTCCTTTATGCAGTGTCAGTAACGTTTACGTTTGTGACAGATTGATTAATTTTTAAACCAGCGAGTTTTTGGCTTTTCCTGATGCTCTTTTAGAGCTCTGGATCCGGTTATCACTCATTAATCTCAGGATATTGTTATCCTCTGCATGTCAGCTTGAATTCATCATGCAATCAGTAACTGCTCTTCAAAATCCATGCAGCTGATTCATATAGCGATTATTGTGAGTCCATGTTGGTTCTGTCAATGATCCTAATCTGCAGTTGAGCTTATTAGTCATATTCTATTGCAGTAATAAAGAGGCGGTATGTCCTCATTTGTCTAAAACCTTTTAAATTGTTTACCTTGATCAATTCTTAGTACCACAATGAATGCTGACAATCCTTCCCAGGACCTGATTTAGATGTTAAAGATTGCCAATAAGATACTAAGTGGTAACAACATCATCATTCCGCATATAATTGATATCAATTACCCATAATGGAATCCTTTGAAAATATGTAGCACATTGCACAACGGTTGTTTTTATCAGACGCCTCGGCCTCATTCTCAGTGTGTTATTAAACTTCACTGCTTTCTGCTCTTTTGCCTTGATTTAAAATTGAATCTCTGAAGTGCGTGTGAACGGCAAGTAGGCCTAATAATGTACCTGAGTTCAAGTGAGAGATTTTTGCGTAAATGGTGTGCAAACTGAGGAGTGATAGATATTGTGTGAAGAATGCCAAAAGCAATATTTGAATAAAGCTGCAACTAAAGTTGTAAATGCAGAAAAATGTCACTGAACGGTGAAGCTTTAAGGGCCTTGCAGATGAATTGCACAGCTCTGGCACTGGGTGCAAGAAAAAGCAGCACACAATTGAAGGTAGCACTGATTTAGAGTTATACTGTATCTGAGAAATGAGTTATGAGCCGAGGCTTTTTTTCCATCCTATTGTGAGTCAGGTGGAAATTCTTTTGCCAAGTTTGGAGAAACTGTTCAGCGTGAATGGATTCAGACTCTTGCTTCGCAACTTGCCAGGGAAGAAACATAGCTTCCTCTAGTCTTGATAAGGAATATCAGTGGCATATAATTTACATAATTAAGGAGATAAAAGTCCCTGAATTCACTTCCCTTGATGTTCCCCCAAAAAAGTGGAGAGCGCATCTGCTGTGCTGTAGCCAATGGTAACACATGCTAATACAGAAGGTACAACAGATGAATGAAAAGCAGGGGATGAGGAAGGCTAGAAATTGCATGTATTCATCTTCTTTTTTTACATTTTTTCGCTACAAAAAAGAACATTACTGTATTTAACTGAAAATGTATGCTGCTTTTTATCACAAAACAGCCCCTCAATCAAAGTTGTGCCTGTCTGCAGTGTGAGAGAGGAGGAATTTATTCTATGTTCGTCATGCTGGGGTTCTGGGCGGCATAAGTTCTGAAATGTCCTGCATAAGACCTCATTAACAATGCACTTGCTTGCTTCAGTCATATCAAATCGAATACATCAGTGGAAGTGCAACTGAATTACAGATCTGATCTCAAGACTATTTTAGTGTGGAGCCATGTGATCAATATCATATAGTCATGAAAAAACATGGAAATATCAGTGTGATATGAAGCCTGGACAAGTCAAAGATTTGGAAACTGCGAATAAATGTTTAAAAAATACCATAATACCAAAAAAGTTTTTCATGACATTTGTTTCCGTAACAGTTCTCGCAGTTTCTTCTGATAATACAGATGAAACAGAAAAAAAAAAAATAATAAAAAAAATAGCCTGAAAGTGCCTGGCATTATTTATTATTCAGCGTAGAAACTTTAAAGCGACTAGTGATGTCAAATCCTGGGCTAATGACTCTTATGAGCTGTTTTTTAATGAATCAAAACACACAGCATAACCAGTGAATTCCAGTTCTCGAGCAACTGATTTTGAGTCAGTTCTGTTTAGTTTATCAGAAAGCGATTGACTTTTATATGAGCTGGTTAGTAGATCAAAAACATAAAGCGTGACTAGTGAAGTCCAGTTTTGTAGGGAATGAATCTTATGAGCAGATGCTATAAAATAGATCAGAAACAGACAGCGTGACTAGGGTAGTCCTATTCTTGAACGAATGACTCTTATGAGCTGATTCTTTTATAGTGAATCAAAAACAAAACTCGAGCAGTGTATTGCGATTAATCTGACTCACTTACTGAACAGTACTCTATGTTGTTCATAAATGGATAGTTCACCCAAAAATAAAAATTCAGTCATTATTTACTCAGCCTGTTGTTGTTCTACTGACTTTCTTTTACCAACCCAAAAATAAAAAATGTCCTGCTCGCTCTCATCCATAGCGGCATTGAATAGCAACCAGATTCAAATTTTAAAGACAGAGATGGAAAGTATAACAGAAAGATCCCATATGTGCCATATTTTTTATTAATCCTGATTTCTCAAAATAGTGCTTATATGCTTTTCCTTGGCAAGCCAGAGTGAACTGCTGGACTAATACAGTCTCATGAACACAGTGGCGGCGCTAGGGCGGGGCTTGACGGGGCTATAGCACCATCAGAAACATGCTATTAGCCCCGGCACAGCAGTAAAAAAAACTGATGTAGCTTTCTAACGCTGCATTAACGGCACATATTCTCTGAGACAACGAGAGACGAAACTAGTACTATCAAGGTTCCCTTGACAAAAAAAAAAAAAAAAACAATAGGATTTATCCATTGGCTTTTAGATTATTCCAGAAAAAAAGCTCTGTGATCAACACAAATTTATGATTCTTATATGTTTTGTTCATAACGATAATCTTCACAAATGAACACAACCTTTATGAATTTTGAAGCCTAAATATAATTAAAACCTAAATATAATTGGCTAAACGCTAAAGCTTCCATCAGCTCTTTCAGTCTCTATTTAAAAAAAAAACTATTCCCTGAATGTTTGAAATATGATCGTTTGCAAAGACGTGATTATAAACACAAGACTGTAAAAGTATGCTAGTAGTCAGTTTAATGTCCCTGACAACCTCAACAGGCTGATTTAGCCACTTGTTAGCAACCACCTATTTCCAGACACATGAAAGCTTACGAAATTCATGAGTGGGGTGTTAATAATCTATTTTATGTTGTAGAATAAATCTTGAGCTTGTGTTAACCACAGACCTTATTTCAGGCTTTTAACCAAAAACTGATTCAAACAAACCATTGACTTCTGGATGATGAAAGTGAAAGTGCCAAAATGCTAACTTGTTTCCAGGTTTTGGCCTACAAAAATATGTAATAGTGCCAGCAGATTTTAATTTTTTTTATTTTATTTCTCCTTTTGTGGTCTGTGAAAGAAAGCATTTGAAGAACACCAGAGTGAGTAAATAATGCCCATGCATTTTTGGGGTAAATATCCCATTAAGACTTTCTCAAAATAATTGTCAGTGTTTCCATACTCATTTAGAAGAATCTAAAACCTAAAATTCCCATCCCTAATTGAATGTACTAAAATCTTTAAAAAGTCATTGAAACTAAAAGCATTTAATTGAAATTTGTCTTTGTGACTCTCTAAAATAAGGAACATTAAATGTTCAGAAGGTGTGGGAATGCTATAAACCACTGTAAACCTTTAACCTGGACAACATGCATCCTAACATAGGTAGGATATTCAAACATCACATGGTTTTAATACTTGAGTTTCCCAATTTGGTTATAAAGTAATTAAAGGTGTTTTCACCCAAGGTTAGTTTCATCTGAAATTGTAGATGCATGGCGTAATCCGTTGCTGAAGCCAAACTTTTGGATGGCTCAGTGATAGAAAAGTAGAATGATGTGCACACTGTGTGTAATTACTTACTGCCTGATATCGTGTGAAAATAAAAATGGTTGTGCAGTCACTCTCAGCATTCAGATGCAATTATCATTCAGACGTTGTATGAGTTCATTCCAATAGTCAGATCTTGCAATCTGTAGACAGACTTCCTCTCAGTACTCTACTATATCTATCTTGATTAAGTAGTAAAAGCAGGACACTCAACATATTAAGCTTCGCTGTGAACAGACACTTAGTGGCTATCATTTGTCCCTTTCCTCCGCTCTCTGTCCAATTGTCCTTCTCTTCTTCTCACAATCTAAAAAACTCACATGCTCATTCTCCTGAGTCTCACTTCCTTGTCTCCTGGGCTTGGCTGACCTTATTACCCCACCTCCTTTTTTCTAGGAGATAAAGCTGTGTTACCAGACAAGATCTGGCTGGGTTAAATAACAGGGAGAGCTGCTCCCCCCTTGTGTCTTTCCCTAGCCCACTGGCTGTTTGAAGCCTTTGTCCCAGCAGTAAACAGACACAGCAGTAATAAGAAAAACAAGATAGACTAAAAAACATTTCAGGGGCCGCTTTCTTGATCCAGTGGCCATTTAATAACCTTGTTTGGGGAAGCCTCGTGTGGCCTTTTCCTCTTTTCATTTTCAATAGGTTTGCCGAATGCAGGGAAAGGAAGGAGGAAGTTGAATGCAGGAGCTGAGAGCGGTCCCTAAGATCCAAATGTCGAAACACAGTCACGGCCAATTAAAAAATATAGTTCTGTGCCCTCTGATGTTTTCTGCTGTATTTTTTTTTTCACATAATAGTGTGACCAGCCAGGTGAAATTATGGATATTAAAGATAATATTAATATTGAAAAATCTGTGTTCAGTCACTTATATAATACAAACTTGTATTACTTTATGTGTTTTGACAAGCACAAAATATAGGGTTTTATTTATTTATTTTGTACATACAGTAAACGTTAGGGGGTTCAGAGAAAAGAAAGTAATACCAGTGTTGTTATTGTTAACTAAGCCTAAAACTAATAGTAATATATTTTTAACCAAAATAAAGCTGAAACTAAGTAAAATGTAGTATAACAAACTTAAATGAAAAGTAGAAATGTCACTTTGGCAACTACCTGAAAATAAGTTCAAGTTGAAGAATTAAAATAGCTAAAACTACATTTGAAATGAAAATCAATTCAGGTTA